GCCAAAAGATCTTCAACAAACTTCTTATGGTTCCTTTGCCTCCTTGAAATTTTCCCAAAGTTAGATGCGGTAAATCTGTTTTTGCGTTCTTGCATCCATTCCACACACTCCGCCTGCTCTCTTGTCTTTTCTTCTATTTTGTTGGCCTTGATAACATTTACATTAAGACTCCTTAGCAGTTCCTGCTCTTTCTCAGTTAGATTGTCTGGTGGAACTAAAGAGCCATTACATTCATCCAAAGGAAAAGAGGGGTAAGCGGGGAATTCAGTTGCTGTGCAGTGAGCAACCTCTTGAGATCCATCAAACGAGCTTATGTAAGAGAAATTAGACTCTGTGAAGGATAGCTGGTATGATCCATATGATCCAACTGGACATTTTCCAAAGCGAGTGTCCACAGTAGGCAAAGTATCAAGACTAGCAGTGTCGACAACTTGTGTAATACCTATTTTTGAGCTATGCTGCTCAAGAGATTCAATTAAATTTTTAAGTTTTCCATTAGTGTCACTTTCTCCTCTCCTTGCTTCGGTTAGTAGGCAAGTCACCCCAGTCTTCTTGTTTTTATCAGCACTGTTTACTGGATTGGAAATCACTACTTCCATAACAGGCTGGGCATGGATCCCGTCAAGTCTTGATCGGTGCCAGCTCTGCAAGGCAGAAGTACATGCTGTGCTCGGGTTTTCATCTTCTTCATCTCTCAGGTCCCGAACATCCTTACAGTTAAACAATGAGTATTTACATACTTTCATCATGAAAGCCAGGACATGGTTGCAGAATCCTGACTTTCCAGCTGCACAACTTGGCCCACAATATGCATGCTCGACTTCTCCAGAAACAATACAAAGTGCAAGTTTCAAATTATGTGGCTCTTCACGAGTTTTGAAACTGTGAAAACACTTGGCGCGATAATAGAAATACCTTTCATCGTGATAGGTTTGTATCTCATGAAGGTATTCATCAGCAAGAAAACCCTTCGCTTTCCGCAGTCCTGTGGGCAACGTGTGATTATCTGCGCTGTTACCGTGCTTTTTCCCTGATTTGGAAATATGACGATCCATTTCTGCACGGGTAAACAGTGGACTTTTTTCCAGAGACGTTCCCCATCCATTTGCAGGAAAAGCTACCTTCTTTGTGTTGTGAGGTGGCTCGTCGACCGGAGGTAAGTTTGGATTAGTAGAATTATCCTGACCACCGAGAAGTCGTCTTTGACGCCTGGTATAAATGACATTTTCGTCCGGATCAACAAGGAGGTGGGTTATGTTTGCCTCCAAGTACTCGTTTACCCTGTAAAATAATGGAAATATTTGAGACTCTAGGCCATAGCAACGACGCTAAGCTTACTGTTTGGTCTCGAAACTTACCGCTTACAAAGTTGAGCTTTGGTTGACAATCCTTTACACGAATAGCCACGACACTTCAACCAAAACTTTAATTCGGAATTTTTCAATCGATTCGGATTTCTTCCATCCAACGAACTGCCAGGAATATCATCCTCAGTGAAAAACGAAGGACCGTAAACAATGTTGTTCTGAAAGGACGCCATAGTTGTTATGAGCTTGGCGGCCCTTGATGCCTCGTTATCATGCTACTCTCCCCAGATCGTCTCGGGCGGTCGCCATTTTGGAATAAGGCGTATACAATAAGCTGAAACTTACGTCTGATCCTGTCTAAAGGGCTGTAGGGCGTCTTCAGTTACACCATACGCTGACAGCTTTGCAAGAAGCAAATTGTGGTTAATAGAGTCAAATGCTTTGGAGAGGTCTATGGTAATTGCTGCAATTTACCACCTCGATCATGTGTTGTTCATTCTGAACTCTTTAGGAACCATGAGGGAACAAATTTGGCCGACGATTAAAACTTAAGAAACTAATGAGTGACATAATTTAATAATCGTGCGTTTTCTTATAATTTCATAAAAGAAGTAATGGGCCTTACCTTAGAGAGACAATTTGCATGTGGAAGGTTAGTTTTGTACTGATCCATACCGTCAATTATAATGGACAGATACTGGTCCGGATCGAGTTCGGCCTTTAAACAGTTGCTATAATACGCTCTTCTTTCAGCCCTTGAATGACATAAGAGAAACGTTTGTGGCATAACTATTAGCACAAATCACAGTAACACCTATTTGATACGGAAAGAAAAAAAAACAGATATACACCGGCACCTTGATAGTTCAGAAAACAACCTGAAAGGGAGTACTCAAAAGTATCACTGGAGGAGACTCAGTTTTCAAAATAGTAGAGAAATCAGTATAGCTCAAGGAACCAAAATTTTATTGTGCTTAATAATTTGTGGTGACATCTTATAAATCAAACAAGTAGCACAACTTAGTATAGACTTACATTTGTTGTTCATTGTGCACCTTTCTTTTAAATGACAATGACTTTCTCTTATCCTTATCCGTTGTACCCTGAAGGCATAACTTTAGGGCCACACAGACACCACATTTTGTAAACTTGTTTTCCTAATTAGTGTTGTTGGTTATATATGGAGCCTTATGTCGACCCTTTTTGGACTGCCATCAACTTTTATCCGTACCTTTGGTATAATCACATTCCTGAATTGTTTTTTCCACGTTGCCCAAGAGACAGGGTGCTTGCCAGCAGTTTTAAGGTCGTCAACGTAGGTTAGGTAAATCTCTCATTTAGTTGAGCAAGTTGGCAGACAGTATTTGTCTTCGTTCGGTATGCGATCTGCTCTATGCTCAATGAAATCTGTAAATCAAAAATTAAAATAAATTAACCTGTGAGTTGTTAATATATTATGAACAACGGAGAATTATGTCGAGTGATTAATTGAAATCACTGAACTGGGTTTAGTCATATTGGAAAGAATGACAGTTAATTTATAAGCTGAAATCTCTGACATATCTTAACTCATTTACTTAAAGTTACTATAGCAACCAACCATTAAACCAAGCTTCTGCTTTAAGTGTACTTAGCTTTCTCATTTGCCGGCCCTTTCTGGCCCCCTCTGCCGAACAACGACCATCTCGTTCAAATTCCCTCTGTAGACGGTAAAACCTACAAGGAGAAGACCTACTTTTCACCATTGAGTTGTTCTTCCGTTCATTAATTGCCTTCAAGAGACAGGTTATTATAATCTTGAACTTGAACTGGAGAGCGCATAGGTTTCTATTCAGTCAAAGGTCAAAGGAAAAGTAATGAGCATCTTTAGAGATTAACTTACATGGATCGGGAAATACTGTGAGCGGCTAGCCAGGCTTTTCTGCATACGTTTTTACCATTTAATTTAATTTTACCATTTAATTTTAACATTAAGTTTGCCCGAAATGTATACTGCCTTTTACCTTTTAAAACAACAAAAATAAACAAACTTATAATAAAATGCTTAACAAATGCAATTTGGGTAAGAGGGGCCTGTTAGACCTTGCTGAGGGACAATATTGTAACATTAACCACAGGTCGCGTGACCCTGGTCAGTTGTATGCGTTAAAGACAAGCAACAAAAGGCGGAAATACAATAACAACAACGTCAAAAAATTAAATACAAGAAAGTGCTATACATTCTATCATTTTTTTTTCATGGAGCAACTTTATTACCTTGATGATGATAGACAGAAAATGTGAGGAACCTCAAAATAAAGGACCTCTGTTCTTCTTCTGAAAGTGAGCGGTAAACTTTCCTGCATTTCGAAACATCACTTCCTATTGAGGACTTTCTTTGTGCACCAGTTTTTGCAACATTTCGTGTTTATAACTTTGTCTATCCCAGACGTGGAGAAGGCCTTTTCTTTCCTAACTGAAGTGCGAGTTGAGGACTGCCTTCCTTTCTACGGTGGAATTAATTCAAACAAGAAGGAAAACTTTGCTGGGCTACATTTGGGGATCATTGGGGATCATTTCAGGGTCAATGCGAAAAAAAATGGGGATCATTTTGGGGTTAGGGATCATTTCTTGGTCTGTACAGAGCCTCTTGTCTCTTCGTGCTTTCTCATTTCAATTTCTTCTATTTTTTAATTCTCTCTTTCTGCTTTCTTTTGCAAGCGTCCAATAGCACCTTCTGTACTTTTCCTGCTTTTCTCAGCTGGAACCACTCCATTGCTTTTCTCCACCCGTTTTTGAGTTTTTTCCATGGTTTCCATTTCCTTGAACTGGATTTCTTGAGCTGTTCCTTTCTCTTTCTGTTGGCTTTGCTTTTTGTTGCCAGTTGAAGGCTCCTCCAGGAGAGTATCTATCTCTTATATTTCTGGACTAATACCACTTGCTCTTTTTTCCTCTTTGTTTTTTGCTTTGAATTTGGACATCAGGAGATTGAGCCTTTCTCGCAAGGAACGCTTGTTAACATTGGATTTGGGATTGAAGGGGTTATTGAGTCTTGTGGCAATCTCATCCCACAATTTTCCTCTCTTAGCGTTCCCCTTTCTGGTTTGAGGAAGATCTGATCCCCTTACCTCTCTCAAAAATAATGTGTCATATTGATTTGTCCACTCCATTGTGCTGGAAGAGGGAACCAAGGTTTATTTTAGGAGTTTATTCCAGAAACGGTGGAGACAATAGTTCTTCTTTTCCAGACTGAGTCTTTGTATTGATTTATCGAATATTTGTTGGATAAAATTGTTCTGTTACACCCTATACATATCCACATAAAATATTACTCTAAATTCATAGCACTTCATCGAAAAATTATTACAAGTGTAGTTATCCAAGGCGTAAGAGTATATTTATATATTTATAAGCTATGTGGTGGGTTAATTGGCTAAGTGTAAAAATTTTGGACCGAAATTTACCTCTGTACTCTTTAGCAGGGTTTGACTCCAAAACTCCGCAATTCTTTGTCAGCTAAGAAAATTCTGATACAAAATGCTACTAAGAAGTAAAATAAAAATGTATTGGAGTGAGTAAGAAATATATAGTGTTTTACAATAAAGAATTAGTTAAGAACATAACAGCTTGTTTATCTTTACAGACGTACTTTGATTGGTTTGTCGTCACTCAACCTTCAGAATCTTTGGTCATTTTTCTGAGTTTTGTCTGTGAAGAGAGCACAAAAAGCCACGAGAGTTGCTTGGCACATCCTCAGGTGGTTTGTGCCAATGAAGAAACTGGACTGTTAGTAAAATGTTTAGAAGTACATTGTACCTTAACAAAGCCTTTCTTACAAAGGAACAATCATTTGGTGCATGTCATGTCTCGATCATGTCATACTATGCCATGATCACGTGATGATGTCGTGACCTGGTTACAACTGGCCTAAACAGGTATCCCAAGCTAGGCCTTTCTCGATTATGCCAGTAAATCTGGCATTTAATGCTACTAGAAATTCTCGCATAAAGCCAAAAAAATGCTAAAATAATGCCTGATTTCTTTAAAAAATGCCACTTGAGTTGCAAAAAATGCGTTGTTTTATTTCAAACAAAACGTACAAACTCTTACATTATATGCTCATATCAACAACAGGTGATACTTAATAATTGATTGTTTATAAAATTTGGGGTCAGAATTAAAACCAGCCAACAGCCACTAAACAGTTATATTTGAAGCACTACCATGCACTGGGTACACACAACCTAGACTAGCACAATTCTGTTCAACTTCTAACTCATATAAAACGTTTACCTTTCAGTATACTGTAAGCAGTTGCGAGCGCTTATCGCTTGTAGTATTGTGCCATCACACTGGCTTGAATGTAATCGACGAGATTTCGATTACCACCTGCCATGCCGCTAGAATGCTGTCAAAAAAACGTATCGGCAACACAAACTTGTAGGCTTTACACTTTATTACTTTCTTACTTGGTGGAAATGATAAAAATTATTAGAACAAGAGGGAAATAAAAAGACACTTCGCGAAACAAGCAGGCTTAAAAACTTAATTTGATAATGGATCTATCATGAGCATAAGCTAACAACACGCAAATTCATCTCAGTGCGGGGTGTTTGTGAACAGACTGGGAGTGATGTAAAAAATAGTAAAATTCTTTACAGAATCTATTTAAGAACAATGCTTTGATTTTATATGGAAATGAGTACTGCTGATAATCAACCACCCTTTCCTGACCAAAACAGTCAACTTGTCGATGTTACTCATCACGGCTATTGAAAATACGAGGTTTGAAATATATTTACGTTTTATTTGAATTCAAACATACAAAATTTTTTTACTTCTCATGGAGGTTATTTGCTAAACACTACACTTTAAGTTCCTAGTTTTGGATTTTTTTTTTCAATATATTTATTGATAATCACATTAAATAATTACATTTACAATACTACAGGAAAAAAAGCACTTTAACAGTAGACATTAACAGAGTAAAGCAAAATTAATTGTTAAATTATTACAGGGCTAAAAGAGATTATAAAAAAGTACCACAGGGCAATGAAATAATACGGAGTTAATACAGTTTACTTAAATAAGGCGTCAGTATCCACTTTCTTTTAAAGAATTCTTGGTTGCTGATTTTTTCTTCTGTTTCATATTTAGCGATGATCTTGGCCCTAAATCCATAAATGTTTGGAAGGATTTGTTTGCTCCTACAGTCCCACAAATAGAGTTTTCCAATAATTATAAAATAGTTCAGCAATTGAAGTAAAGGGCAAGTATTTTCCGTCAAAATTCCAAAGACCACAATTTCCAAGCAGAGACGAATTCGTTGATTTGAAATAAGGCACCAATATAGTCCAAATTCAATCTAAAACTGTTTAGAGCGTGAGCAGTGATAGAACAAATGAGTTAATGATTCGGGTTGATTGTCACAGAAAGAGCATAAATCATTTGCTCTTAAACCTATTTTATACAACTTTGTGTTTGTGTAAAGAATTGAGTTAATTACCTCGTACTGGTAAGGCTTTAACATACAATTCGACAACAACAGAGTGTGGCAGCTTAAATATTTGCTTCAGATTGTCGCTGTTACTCTCTAATTTTTTAATATTATTGGGCGGTTTAGCTTTTTCTCTGATGAGTAGGTTGTAGTAATCCTTTGATTTCCCTTTCGTAACATCAAAAGTATTGTCACCCACCACAAATGTTGGAGAGTTTATGGAAGGATACCTGTCATAACTTCTTAACGATAATGGAATGGACCTACGTAAGCCAGCCCATTCTAAAATATTTGTTTTGCATACTTTTTTAGACAGTTGATTATAAGAAGCAATACTGTTCAGACTAAGTAAAAGATCTTGAATGCAAATGACTCTCACATTGACATAATGTTTATAATAAACCCGCTTGTTTTCTACTTTTATTTCTTTGTTATTCCAGATTATGGTTTTCCAATCTTCTTCAGTGGCCAATGTTTAACGAAATTGCAACCACCATAACAAAAGTTTGTGATAGAATTGAGAAGGAATTGTGTAATCCGAGATATTATAGTTGCAGTTAAAAAAGAACAATCCCCCAACGGAGCTCATTATGTGTTGTAGGTACCTTTTCAAGTTCCATTGGGATACGTTTTACTAAGCTAATCTCAATGATTTAACCATGGACTCGAGATCAACCATTCTTAGCCCTCCCTCTTCGTATTCATTTATAACTGAAGCTCTTGTTACCTTATCTACACCCTTCCAGAGAAATTTAAACAGTATTTTATTCAATTCTTTTAGCAGATCCTTGGGAGTTGGAAGAATCGAACAAACGTAAATGTACTTAGGGATAAGAAAAGATTTGATTATTGTCACCTTACGGTATATCGACAAGCCTCTAGCGGACCATACATTGAATCCAGTCGTTCTATAAAATTCTTTTCTTTAAGTAATTTTTGGTCGTAAGTAAAATATACACCTAGAGCTTTTATTGGCTCGTCCAGCCATTTAACACCGAATGGTTTTTCTTTATAATGTCTCTTAGATCCAATCCACATACCTTCAGTTTTTGTTGGATTTTTAGTAGCAGGTCTAGATTGCGCAAAATTCAGCTTTTATCAATTTCCAATTTTTTTTGTTTATTGTTGTCATAGTAATATCGATTTTAGTTAAAATTACGTTTTGACAAACTTCAATCCACAGTCAAGTACTGGCGAAAATTTTATAGCGATAAGACAGGCATAAAATCCTTTTAAGGCGATTGAAAAATATTGGTATGGTCTCTGAAAAACTGTATCGAAACACCTTAAGACTATTACGGCAGTGAACCCACCTTCAGACTCACTGATATTTTCCTCGTTAACTGAAATATCGGGAATATCTGTCAATATTTAAAGATAATTAGAGAACAAAGTGTCAGTTTAATAAACCAAAACAGTTACAAACATACTTTACATGGTGTGTTTTCTTGTTCTTCTGATCAATTACTTTTTCGGAAAAGTTAATCCGCGTTTTTTTTAATTGGCGGTCTCATGTAGAACATCAATTAGAAGTAAGAACATGGCATGTGTTCGATTATTTACTTATACCGTTTCGTCATTCACCTATCTGATGTCATTGCCAATCTTTAGGTCTGTTAGAAAACCAGGTGATTAACAGTAAGAAAATAGGAGGATAATGAAATAGGAGGACTAGATGTGCCAAATATGATTTATTCTCATATAGGCGGTAAATCGCAAATCAGGCTACACTTTTACATACGTTCGACTGACATATCCAGAAGACTCTTTCCTTGCACCTGTTCAATATTACCCGCGTCAACTACTAGGAGTTTGCTGACCTTGGCTAACTCTCTTGTAGATTCGTGGCAATAAAATTGGTGATGGACTCTAATATCTAATATCATGCCCCAGGTGGTGTGCTAGCCAGTCCACGTCTAGTTCCATCAATGCCGCAGTTTGTGACACGGTCGCAATGTATTTTCGCAGCTTTGTGCTGATAATTGCCTCTGGCTTCTGTATTTCCTTTACTTCCTTAATGCTGGCTGAGACGCAGTCCCAGCCACGAAGATTACCCAAAGAGCCCCTGGTAGCTCTTGCAAAAACGTACTTGTTTGACTTGGGAATAACTGGTGGTATTCTTTCTATCAACAGCTCTACCACTGCTCTTGTGTCAGGTGTCAGTATGATTGGGACCGTCCTCCCTCGCTTGCCTGTGATTTCTATTAGGTTGAGCCTAAGGATTTAATTTTAAAACAAGTACTAACACTTTATAGCATCACAGTGTATGATTAATCCGGATGCGTGAAACGGTTACGTTTTGTTGTTCCTTTTAATCTTGGAATGTTATTATATTTTTCGTCCGCATTTCTAGTTTAAAAACTGTTGTAAAAACAGCCAGTGTTTCATTAGATCTGCCTTATTAGTTATGAAACATTCAAACACTTTGATCGCGAAATTTAATGCCCTTTGTATTCATAAAACCCTGCGAGACTGCGGACTAAGTATAAAATATGGAGTAGGCATAAAACGTGGACTTTCCATACATCTTCCCTTGCTCTAATATACGATTTTACTGACTCACATCTTACCTCTCACAAAGACGCTTTTCCAAGGCTGTCAACGATGCCTTTAGAGCAGTGCTGCAGCTGGCCCAATTTGGGCGACACTGAAATTGCCCTATTTGTAGGTTCACAGTCTCCCCTGATCTTCTTTGTTAAAGATGATTATTCTTGCCAGAGTCGTCTTAGCCAAGCTGCTCCAGTGGCCAGCAGCGGTTTGCATTTCTTCCCCTTTGTTTAAAATCTTTGAAAGATCTGCCATCTTCTTTTCCTGATTTTTCAGCAGCATAAGGTCTCCAGCTAGTAGCAGAATTTCTACTTTGTTTTGCTTCTTTGACCACAGTGAGGCGAAGGACCGAGAACTAATCTTGGTGGTCCGCTCTGCCTCAAAGAGGTCAATGAAGTTCTGGCATTTTCTTATCTCTGCCTCAACTTTTTTCCTCAGAGCTGATGATTTAAGAACTTGCGCACACTGTTTTATGCTGTGCCCAAGCTTTAAGGCCAGGAAGGGGACATCTATGTCCAACCGAGATTCTTCCTTGAATCCACACAGATCTTTCACTGCAGCAACTAGCTTGTCAAATCGTGCAGTGTCTATGAAATCGGCGAAATTGGTAGCCTCGTTTTGTTTCCTTAACGTTTGGAGAAGCCTGGCTAACTGGCACATTCTTTGGGAAACATAATTTATGTTTTTTGTCCAGACTTTTTCAAAGATAGCGGTGCCAAAGTTCACAATTAGGGCGTCTTTTCCGGCAATTAAGTTTAAGTTTAAGTTTAATAATTCTTTTTACCAATGTACAAAATAAAAATATATATACATATATAAAAGTACAATAGGTAAAGGAAAGCAATAGGGGGAAACTGAATTCCCATATAAAAACTGCCCTCNTGGTAGCCTCGTTTTGTTTCCTTAACGTTTGGAGAAGCCTGGCTAACTGGCACATTCTTTGGGAAACATAATTTATGTTTTTTGTCCAGACTTTTTCAAAGATAGCGGTGCCAAAGTTCACAATTAGGGCGTCTTTTCCGGCAATTAAGTTTAAGTTTAAGTTTAATAATTCTTTTTACCAATGTACAAAATAAAAATATATATACATATATAAAAGTACAATAGGTAAAGGAAAGCAATAGGGGGAAACTGAATTCCCATATAAAAACTGCCCTCCAAAACGAAAAGATAAAACAATTAAGAATAGAAAACTAATACATAACTATACATCCTGTGATTCTAAGAGAAAAAACAAAAACAAAATTTAGTTGTTTTGTTTTTGTTTTTTTCTCCCTTTCCCCTTCCCCTTTTCTTTAATAAACTACTTAGATATTAAATAAAATACTAATACTTAGATATTAAATAAAAACGAAAATCCAGATTCAGTAGGAAATAATAAAGATATGACTATTTACAAAGATAATTAAGTAATAAAGTTTTAAAAGAGTTCAAGCTGGAAGCAGACATAACGGAGTTTGGTAAAGAGTTCTAGTCATTAACGTAACAATTAAAAAGTGAAAATTTAAAATAGTTTGTCCTTGCTGCAATGGCTGATATTTCGTCGTTTTTCATAGAGGAAAGGACATTGTCATGGAAGCTCTTTTTTACATCTTTGGTGGACAATACTGTTGTTGGTAATAGAAGCTTAGCTTCTTGCTGTACCCTCGACCATTTTGGGGGAGTCTCTTGGGACCGATGGGGACAATTTTGTCGGTGCCTCCAGAGCTCTGACGCCATGAAAAAAACCCATACAACTAGGGCAAGGCAAGAAGTTAGTGGCAATCCCTTCTTTTTCTTCTTTTGGCGTTTGTACCATGATTAATTTTCCCTCACCCAGGTCCAACACGTCGCAGTTGTGTTGGTAATCACCTAAAAGGCGAAACCTCTCAAATGCCAAATCTGGCTCCTGGGCAGTTTCCATGGCCATTGCTTTCGCCACTTGTGATTCACTTTTATGCTGTCTGGTTTGGTGTTTTCTGACCTTTTTCTGTGGCTTCTTACAGAACAAGCACACATGTGCCCGCTCACTTGAAACAAATATTTTCAAGGTCTTTCCTACAAAGAGATTTAAACGAATAAGAAATAAATGTTATAGTTACTTAAAGCGACACTCCGAGGCATTTGAGTTCGAATATTACGGCCAACTCAGAACGATTCTTTTTTTCAAAATGGTCGTTTTCAAAGATAACACTAGAACTGGAAGCAGATTTTATTATGAACAAAAAGACATGAGACTTAATAATCCTTCAAACACTATTTCATGTTCGAGTGTCGAGCTCAGTTGCCCATTGGGTTGGGTACACGCATGTTAAGATGATGTCCCACTCGCGTCCTCTTTGCTGATTACATAATTAAGAAACTAATATACTTCCTAAAAATTTAGCAAGTCCTGGCCGCATCAAATTAATTATCCTCAGTTTGAGATCGTAGCGATAGCTAACTACAAAGAAAAACAAACATTAAAGTTAATGATGTTAACCTCATCTCTATGGCCAGGAGTACTGATTTTTGTTTCAAAACAACATACGTATGTTTTTGTGCTTACGATTGATTCTACCTTGCTTTCAATGTTTTGTTCGTGGTTCATCACGGTCTGGAAAAAGTAGTTTCCCATGAACCCCCCCACCCCTCGGAAATAACTGCCTTTGACCCCCCCCCCCCCCCCCCCCCCGCCTTTCCCGTCCTCTTCCCTCTGGGGGGGCTGGGGTTTTTTCTGTGCACACCCCACCCCAATGCCTGGCGGACTGCTTTCCCGGGCGAATTTTACTTTTTTTATTTTTTTTTTCGTATTTTTATCTTTTTTTTTTTCAAAAAAACATACGTTTTTTTTTGTTCTTTCGATTGATTCTACCTTGCTTTTAATGTTTTGTTCGGGGTTCACCACGGTCTGGAAAAAGTAGTTTCCCATGAACCCCCCCCCCCCTCGGAAATAACTCCCTTTGACCCCCCCCCCCCTCCCCCTCGGAATTTCCAGTGATCTTCCGTTGGGGGGGGTATGGATATTTTCTGGAACCACACAATGCGAATACAGCTGGCCATTCTTGCCTGGGTAAATATTCATTTTACTATCTTCTTTGACGAAGTTTACATAGTTCTGTGTGTGTAATGATATGTTGAACAATGACCATACACCCATGTGTTTTTCACATGTATCAAAATTCAATCTCTAGGAGATATTCACAGTGTTGATGAGCTGCAGGGGTAGTTTCAGATCATTATAGTGCTTATATTGAGTCTATCTATCTGAACAGAATGAAAATGTGCTGCGAGAGGCCTCATCTATGGAATACTACCAGACAAGATGCCAGCCTGACAGGATTTCTCCACACAGGGTTCTCACAGAAAAGACGTTCCATTTCAAAGAGGAGATTTGGGCAACCTTTTTCTCTTCTTTATAGATGAAACACTTTTTTTTTCTCTCCTTCCAGCATTATATTCAGTTTCTTCAAAAAGCTAATTGCATAACAAAACATGCTGGATCATCACATCATCGTAACTGAATGTATGTAAATAACTTTTATCTGTAAATCGTTTTTCACCGAGTTGTTGTTGATATTTGCCAGTGACACATTTTACATAGGTCCCATATGGACTAGACAGACCCCTTTTTTTATCAATAATTTATCAATAATTAGTTATGGGAGTAGGGTTCACCAGTTTGAGCCTCATCCCTGACCCAGCATGCATGGACTCATATTGAGCAGCAAATAAGCTAAGGTTAAGGGAATGTATTTGGTGAGAGAAAAATAACAAAGGAAAACAACAACAACAACAAAATAACAAGAAAGACCGAAAAAAATCGATTACGCAACCCCTCACCTTCTAGACTCGCAACCTCTCATCGGTGGAAGAGGAAAATGAATAACAATAGTCACACTGAGAAAGGAACGCGAGGAAAGATAATTTTACATTGTCGGAGTGACAAAAAGGTGTTGCAGTTGTTAAGCAAATGGCAAAAGTTCTATAAGTTAGAGTCTTCCATGGGAGTAAAATGTTGTGTCATTTGACTGAAAAATGTAACAATTAAGACTGGAAACCAAATCAGTCAATTTTTTTAAAAACTGAAATTCATGTTTACGTAAATAAATTTTTGATCAAATGGGCAACAAAAGGCGCAATTCAAGATGAGGAAAAGACTATGGAATAAAATAGCCAAAGTATGTTGTGCTTATTACAAAGACTTAAGGTGAAGATGGCGAGGTTTGAGACGTGGAGATATAACAACCAATAACAGAGTTGATAAGTACAGATCTCTAAGGGGCATAATAGCTAAGGTATACCAGGAATATCTGATATATATTAGCTATTATGAACGACGATGGCCTTGGTAAGGGATGTTGGGTGGATTTGGCCAACGTTCACGAATGTCCTTCACCACGCAAAGCGGCATGACCTCTTGTACATCGTTGATCGTGCAGCCTAGCTCCTGCTTTCTTACAAGGTAGGTTGGGTTTTCTCAAAGCTCACAGCCTTTTAGGGTGGGCCAGAACCATTTATAACCTTACGGCATTTAGTGTGGTTGGTTATTCTAGCCTCACCACGACCTATCGGTTTGAATTCCCGACTGCATTATGCAGGAGCTTCTTAGACAAAAATCACAGGTCGAAACTGAAATGTTCTTATCTCCCTCTACTACATCATCCGATACAACCGGCTGCTGTACATCTGCCGGAGACACGACTTTGTATCTTGCCAGGAAGATGCGAACTGGTGTAGGCGGGGCAGACGTATCATCATCTCTTGGCACAGTGAAGCATTTTTGCCCTGGAAAGAAAGGTAATTGACGAACAGAGAAGAGGGTTAGTAATATTCTCAAATGAATACGAGGTCGTATACAGAAACAGAAATCTGCAAGAAATTTTCACTACTTCAAGCGCCAAATACTATGGAATTGCTGTACACAGTGAATTTTTTTTTTGATAAAAACTGCTGATGGAATTGTCTATAAAGTTTAGGTTTGGCCGGAAACAGGATATGGTATTACCTAACCTTGGTCGAAAGGGCATGAGCAAGTTGTAAGTGATAATCATTGTAAACGTAGCGCGCTTTTCAAAAATGAAATGAGGAACATATATAATATATCTATATATATAACAGTAAAGAAGCTTTATTATTTTTTTTTACAAAAGCGAAGGAATATCCTACAGTGTATTCTTTGGAACCATGATGTTACGGGAAAATTTTAGCCCATAAATAAAAAGTAACAATACATTGTTCAAGATCATTGCAGTACTAACCATTCCCTGATTGAACCCGTCGATTGGAGACAACTTCACAACACTCCTGCAAGCTGAGTAGACAGATAATACATTCTTGCTTCTCCTCAGGTATTTTAACAGTTAACTAAAAGCAAAGGAACCCAAAATACAGCTGAAAATAATTTCAAGACCGACAAAAAAAAAGGCCCAAAAAGATAGAATTTAATGGAAACAAAAATACGCAAAAAAAAAGGACTCACTTCAAACATTCAAGGACGGTTTTACTCACCCTCACTTTCTTTGCAGCATTGGTAGCTGGAGCTCCTAGCATTTTTCTCTAGTCACTATTAAAACCTTTTGGTAGCCGCACTAGCTAAGTCTTGTATTGTGATACTAACTCACTCTATGATGTTGACAGGTCGACATCTAGAGTCAAATGACTGAAGGCTCGTCCAGTCCAAGGTTCCTTATATAGGCAGTCTCCGTGTTTAAGTGATGCTCTGCTGTTGAAGAAATTTTCCAAACCTGTCGGGAACCTTCTGGAGTAGTCGCTTTTTTTTCCCCCAAGAAGGGATGTCCATTCCCACTTGTGCTGCAGGGGTTGTTCTTTTTGTTCACTTTTTGGCTTGCCATAATTTTCTTCCTGTCAATGTACACAAGAAGCTAACATTATGTTGCATAAATCATGATTGCTTTTTGTTGCAACACTTAACCTACATGTACTGGTGAGAGTTAAATCTTGTATAGGAGAGATCTGGAGAGGTCGGAAAAACCACCTTGTTTATATCTTTTTTTATAGTTAACTGCATCTACTGATTAAGCCCACCTCATCCCAATCCAAAAAGTGGGTGTAGTTCATTGATGATCACATGGTCAATTAAGATGATAAAGAGAGGTGGCTCCTTTCAACCAGGGGCCTGTTTCCACCTATCATGCAATAATCTTTTCATTTGTCTGGACATGAAGTAGGCTTCAGTCCTGTCGAGATTCTGCCTACATAAATACAAAAGGAAATCACTGTTGAAATGTACATATACATGATATAGATATGATTCACAGTTTGTTTTCTGTTTTGATAATTATTTATATATGGAGAAGCGTAGTACAAAGTCATATCTCTCCTCTCTTTTGTGCCGAGTTTGCAATAAATGCAACCATTTTTGCAGTTTGCCTGCATCATGCCTTAACACATACAGAGGAACTGCCACCTACAAGAAATGATTGGTAAAGTTATAAATTACACAAATCAGCAGCAGGTATCATTTACATCGGTTACCACTAACACGTGCCCTCAAAGACTTTTTTCTTCGGTTCAAACCTGTGGTTTGGTGAACGTCAATCAACCATTACCATGGTTTTCTCACATTGGCCAAGAGAAGATTCTTTCTTGCTTTCTCGAGCACTCGGAGGAACATGCCAGCGTTTAAGCTGTCTTTGCAATATTTTGCTACAGGATCTGACACCACTTCATGTCAAGATTTCGAGGGGTACTTATTTGTTGAGTGTTTGTCGGAGAAAACTCAAATTAACAACTTATTGACACACTGCAAGTTACAACTACATAAGCTTTCTCAATAAAAGTTCGCAACTAGTCTGAGTTCTTGGTACTGCAGGTAGTTCTGGATTCTATTCGATAACATGAAGAATGATAAGTAGAAATTCATTTTCGAAAACAGCGTCCGTTCAGAGGAAACTTTTTTCCCTTGTCAGTGTGATATTGTTCCTTTCTTTGAGTTTCTACTCCTTGGCAAATCGTCCACGGGTCCTGTATGTTCATTCAATCAAGTAAATAAACAACCTGAAAACCTTTATGTAAACTATAGAGAGTGTTTTGGCTATTTCACTCACCTTGTTTTAACAATGTAATCTTTCATCTTAATGAAATAAAAATGCTGTCGTCATTCGAAATTATTCTTTTAAGTCTTCGCCCGTCATTCAGCAACAAGGGAACCTTCTCTG